TGGCATTCACGTGTAAACCGGAAAAGTAAAAAATGGATATTTATTTGGACAAAGTTGCTTTGCTTTAGATGAATGGGAAGTTAAGAAATCTATAAAAGTTGGTATTCCAAAATATTTTCCCCATTAGCGAAGCTGGGAACCAATAACAACACTCAACACAAAGAAAATTATCTCAAAACAAATGTTTGTTCGACATTTACGCCAATATTAAAGAACGGCTATATACACGAAGAATGAATTCGCCTTAGTTGAATAGAGCTAATTGTGACACTTACCAATTCTTTCTTAAACACAGGTGAGTCCAAGTTGGATGAGGACTGCTCAAGCCTCTTTCGAATAGTCGCTATCCATACTGGAAGTGTCTGTTGTCCTCCCTGATCAATAACACTTCCGGCTCCATCCATCAACATAGCAGATTCAATTGCCGAGCAGACTGATAACCAAACACTAAGACGAGTTCGACGACGATCAATCACGCCTCTGGCAGCTTCCATACTGGCGTGTAACTCGTCAGCTGCCTCATGGAGCTGTCTCCTAGATTCAAAATCCTCCAGAGTTGCGCTTAATTTCTCTGATGTTGTGCAGAGTTGAGCCGATCGTTTCTCATGCATTTTTAATCCTGAATCGAGTTTCTAGGGTGAAAATATCAGGTTAGGTTGGCACGTTGGAGTCCACAATAAATGATTACATTCAGGTAAATGTTACTTCTGTCAGAGGGTTCTCTTACATTTGACCAATACTTGGCATACAAAACAGTTTTGACAGAAAAAAATCTGTGAGGGTAAATTTGAAATAGGTTTTTTATCTAAAGCAAGCATTCACATCTCATTAATTCAAGAAATAAGTGCTCAAACGATTTCGGATAAATTTCTCTTTGAAAATACCGGATGATCTAGAACGAACCGCTTTGACAAAAATATGTCAACTTGCACTGCCTATACGAAGGTGGAATGTCATAAAACTCAGAACTAGGAAATTCCAGCAGATGTGTAACTTAATGCAAATGCATGCAATCGTCATTGAAGGCAGTCGAAATATGGAAACGGCGTTTTTTGCCTTTATGACAGCTGAAGAGTTGACGAGGCTCAAAACAAAGCGTATATCTAGTAGTTTTGCATGAAAATCAACTGCGTGCTAGAAAATTGATCGTTGATTTAATGATATATTAAAATTTCGTGTATAAAAAATAAAGTTATTGCTTAGTATCAAATTTTGGAATATTTCATTTAAACGAGAATCCTCAATGAGCAAGAAAACCCTAGACCTTCAAGAACAGTAGTTTTCAACACAGATCTTAGGATAACAGACAACATCCTTGAGTAGTTAGTGGGGAACACGAATTCCGATCCCTCAATTTATTGGTCAAAATTAACACATCCAATCGGTCATCCCATCCTCCGGTCGCGTGTGGGTAATTCCGTGAACGGGAACGTTATTCTCATTGCATTGGTTCAAAACAAAGTTTTATTCACCTAATACTGAGGCAATCGTCACGAAAATTTCCACTCGGTCGGTTAAAATGGAGAGTTGATAGGTAGGACATTACAAAGTTAATAGTAGGAAACATGTTTAAGCTCAAAATGATATAGAATTAAGAGTAATTAAGGTGATGTAAGGTAGTGATAAGTTTTATAAACTGGGTAAAAGCAGCTATCTGCTTCAGATTTTCAGAACTTCACGCAATATGAAAACCACTATCTTTAGTAGTCATAAACTAGATATATGGCGTATTCCTTAAATGTGTGCTGGTTATTTAGTTTCTTATTACTATATCGGTAACCGCGTATCTCAGCCACATCAGAAACATCGGTTATAATTACTTGAAATTGTCTTGTGTAACATCGCATTATATTAATCGTTGAACAGTAGAGAATAGTTGGTTGAGGTCCAATATTGGGGGAGTGAACTTTTATTCTTGATTTAGATCCAAGATGATCTACTAGAATCAATATTGAAAGCGTACACCAGAATAAGAATTATTCTTCACCTAGAAAGTGATTTATACATAATTCCAGGGAATTAAAATTTATTTTCCTATGTATTTGGACAAAATGGCCTCAACCATAAAATTCCTTCTGAGATTACAATCTTGGCATACTTTCATTCAGAGCAGTAGAGTTACACTGTTCCATTAATGGAAGGCTAATGTAGCCACTTATAAAGATGATGGTATAACTCCAGATTTAGATACAATACAAATAGAAGGAAGATATTAATAGATCCAAAATCGATAATGTGATCTTTCTTTTCTCATGACTTATTTGATTCGAAAGAAAAGGTGAATGGAACAGGAAGTTTGATACGTCTAAAGTAGGTGAGTTTAGAAATGGTGCCTTTCTTTCAATATTCTCTCCTCTATTATACACTCAGCTCCAGTTTAATAATTTGGGCAAATTTATTTCAGATGCGTACCGACTACTGGTGTCCATGACCTAAAATCTAGATTAGGTGGTCAAGGCATTCGTTAAGTATGAAATACAGACCAAGTATAAACATTAAAACAGCATTTAGGCAGATACAAACTGGGGCAGTCATTCCACCTCGTAGATGTGTGAATAAATCACAACGTAGCAACTAAATGGTTTGAGCATGGGGCAGGTCCATCAACTGATCCTTATAAGCTCAAGAAACTTAGTTAAGTAAGGTACTGATTTTACTAAATAGCATTTTGACTTACTCATAAATGGTCAATTCAATGAATGAAACCTCCTCCAAGGTAAACATAACCGCCAACCAATAAGTGATTACAAAAGCCGGAATGTCATAAATTAATAACTCACCGAAAGTTCAGTCGATTTAGATTTGATCCAATTGGAACACAGTTGAACCGACCCTGTAGCTCCGGTAGGTGACCAAAATTCACTATCCAACTTTGAAATGTAATTAGACGGCACATCAACCACGGGTATGTAGAGATTTGACTGCTTAAGCCATGCCAGTTCCTCATTCAAGCGGTTTAGGCAGGCCTCGAAGCTGGTAATCCCAACAGACTCAAATTGTTGGCGTTGGCTTTGTGGACTAATGGACAGGGAAACATGAATGAAGTAAGTAATGCAAATTTATATAATACTTTAAAAATTTTATTACAATGTAGTCTCCTGAAATCCATCCATATCACTTAATGAATCAGATTTTTGTACTTGGAGATCTTCAATCCTGGAAGTATCAATCCTTAGGTTTGGTGGAACTAGACTCTCAATATTGTACTTTTGGGAAAGTCTTTTCAACTCCTCAACTAGGGTATCAAACGTCTCATTTATGAAAGTAATATCGTCTTGTAGAGTATTGTCCATCCTTAAAGGTCGATTTGAGAATCTTTCGTCAAACACTGGCTGAAGGTAGAGATCCGATTTCAAGCCATGGCCAATTTGACTGTACTGAGCCTTCCACACTATCTTGCTTCCAAGACGTTGAAGCGTTAGCACGGATGAACATAGATTCACTGCATAATCCTAAGTGAAGGGAAATGGGTAAAAAACAGTAAATAGTTTCAAAATAGCACATTCAGGAGTAATCTTACTCTTGCTGTTCCAACACTCGCTTCTGAACTTCCGTGGTCCTCATTTGGAATTCTGTCCAATTGCAATAGTTCCATTTGATGCTTTTGCATAATCGATTCATTCATAAATGATTGCCAAAGATTACCATACTCCTGCCAATAGCTAAAATACGAATTGCGCTATAAATGAACTTCCCTATATTCGAGATTTTGTGACATTCATTGACAAACTCACGGCCGACAAAGATGAAATTCGTTGCAGTAAGTGTTAAGCCTTCCTTTCTGAGTCTCGAGAATCGCTTCTAACCAATTGGTACTAGCGAGGAATTCATTTTCACTGCCGTTGTTTTCTCCATTACTTTCTTTTTCTGGAACCTGATCCATTCTGCATCGATTGAGAATGCTGGTTGCTTTCGATGCTGCTTCTTGAGCCAATGTAAAGTACTGGTCTAGATTCTAAACGAAATTAGATTGAGTAGATAAGTGATGGACAATGAAAGTTCAATATAATAAGTAATCTACTCACCTGAATTTGACTTAGGAGTTCATGGGTTGGAATGCTTTGGCATGAATAAAGTTCATCCTGAATTTCGTTCAACTGGGTGACGAACTGTTGCAAACACTCTCTGAAGGGAGTTAACTTGAAGATAAAATTCGTGCTTCTTGTAGATGAAGACAGACGCTGAGCGATTTCTGCATGATAGCCTTTGTCTAAACAGGCTCGATCTTGATTCAGACGCCAATTGTAACTGTCTTCCAGTCGGGTGATGTAGGTCAGACATATTTGTCGATTACCCTCAGCCGGATATCGCTATCAAGATGAAATAAAATAGCAAATACTTCATTATCAATTCTCTGATGAAATCTATAAGAGACCATGTCTTGCCTTGGCTTAAATACTCAGCTTTCACTCATCTCCAACTTACTTAAGGATTTGATTTCACTCTACTAAGTCCACCTCACATTCCAAGAGTACATTCTATGCGCTAAGATTCTTGCTTCGTAAGATCCAAGTTAAAGAACTTCCAACTTTAGTTTTCCTTATTAATTCACTTCACAGCTTTTGCAGTCCTGTGTCAATCATTTTCTACGGTGGAATAGGCATATTTTGTTTGCGGCACCCAGGTCCCTCATTATCCGATTTCGTGGTTAGCTCTTATTAAGAAAAGGTAAACTGAGTACTTCGGCTAGGTACTAAATAATTGTTCACATCATAACAATCGCAATGGATGGATTTCTTTGTTTGCAGTATGTATCACAGAAGAAACTTTAAGGGCAACTTATAAACTGAATCCCAACTGCTCTACAATTCAAAACACGCGCACTTACGATAGTATTCACCAACTACAAGCATGCATGGAGGAGGAATTTATCGTCCGCCTGCAGTTGATGCATCTTCCATATTCTAAAATGACGCTCAACGTAAAAGGGAAAATATTCAAAAGTGTTAACTTTTCGTTGAACTGAGAAGTTGGAGGGTGATGAAGCATTAAAACACGCACACTATGATAAATGTAATTTTTGTCGAAAGCTGCTGTTCTAATCTCGAGATCACATGTGATAAAATGAGGTTCCAAGCGGTTTAAGAAACTCGTATTTCAATTAGAACATTGACCCATACATGTTTTTTTATTTTTAAAATGTTGATAATTGGAAGCTGAGCGTTCACGCCTCAATGCCAATAACTTCAACGAAATTGGATTCCAATATACCACTTTTATTCACCTCATAGTTCGAGAAGGCTTCCTGAGCCTCCTTGAGAGTCCTCGATAATTGATTGATCTCTTCCAGGTGCCAGGCAAGATTTTTCTTTGAGTCGGTCCAGAATTTCTAAAAGATATCCCTGTCAAGTAATTTGATTTCAATAAGTCAAATATTACAAGAAAATCCTCGACTAACCTGAACCTTGAGGACAATTTTTCTGTCATCTGGCTGAAGTGCTTTAGACGCTTTCAAGAGTTCACTGAGTCGAGATTCCAGATAATGACTTTGTAATTTGAAATACTAAATTAAAACCGTCAAAAAATCGTAAATTATAATGAAACTAGCTTGGCTTAGAATGATGTTAAGAAGGCTTGTTAGGTCAGTAAATTTGTTGGATTAATAATTGGTAACAATGAATATGAATAAGCAATCGCAATAATTTAGTCATCCCGTAATTAAATTAATGTTTTTTCTATGATTTATTTTACTTTTAAAGCACATATGCACTTAACCATTAATTCTACGATTCCGGTTTAAAACGTTAAATAACAAGAATAAGAAGGTAACAACGGAACTGCATACTACACATAAATCACAACAGGCCGAGCAAACAGCAATCGAAAAAATCAGAGTAACAATGTCAACACAAAGCGCTTTGTTGTAAACCTCTTCCGTTAGATGTTAGCTCAGGTATTTTAGGGGGGGGAGGGAGGGGGGGGGGGGGGGGGGGGGGGGGGGGTAATAGCTCTCAAATGTGGGAGGCCTTACCTCGTCGTAGAAATGCACGAAAACCTAAATCATTGGTTAGGTGAGTATTGTATTACAATCTCTCATGCATAGGAAATCAACATACCTCTACTTTCTTCTCACACTTTGCCATAGTTGTCTGTAATGGCTCCAATGAATCGTTTTCTTCAGGAGATTTCTCAGCAGGATCTAATTTTACACAATATTTATTGAAGTTATCCAAATCTTGGAAGAACTCAGATATTTCAGTAGTGAGTTGATTGGATCGTGCGTAAATAACCGAGAGGAGGCTTTGATTAGTCTCGTCTGAGACTGCACCTCTATTATTCTCTCCTGTGGACTTCTGAAAGTTTGTAGAAATTAATTTAATTTGAATATTGTAATGTAAAGCTGCAATTAGTATTATTGCCATACCAATGTGCTTTCGTGAACATCCGTCCCCGTTTCAGGAACAACTCGAATTTCGGTAGCTTCTGTAACAGAACTTTCATTCGATTCAGTTGCAAGACCATTTATTTGAGCACGGAAAGCATTTCTGGCCGCAAAAGCTTTGTCAATAATTCGGCGCACATTGGCTATGGTACTATTTAACCCCTCAATTGGATCAACAGAGATTTCAATTTGTCTCAACAGATTTTCGAGCTTTTCAACTGTTGAGTTCTCGTCTTCTTTAGAGGAATCATCTTGATCCCTATCTTCACGACCTAATACTCCGCATAATTCGTTTAAAACACGTTGAAGCATTTCAATATGTGAGTGATTCGTGTCAGCTGTTTCTAAGTAATCCGTGACTTCTTCAACGTTCATCATAACTTGATCAAGAGGGTCAATGATTTTAGAGTACTGATCTGCGTGGGGCTGAAGATCTTGCAGACCTTCTCGGAATCTCTCGACCTATAATGGATAAAAAAATTAAGCTAAGTAGCATTTCATACCTCAGGAAAAGGTATCGTTATTTTATCGACTTACGTGTTCAAGGATTTTAGTATTCTTATTAAACAGATCCTTCAGTTCATGCAGTAGCTCATCTAGTGTATTTCTAAGTTCTGATAAAGGCTTTGTAGAGGATACAGTATTCTGAAGGCTGTCAACGAGATTTTGAGTCTCCCGAATTCGTTCGATCAGATCGTCCGCCTTTTTGAGTAGACTGATGATATGATCGTTGGTAAGTGAGACTACTTCTAAATTGACAGCTGCAACATCATGCTCACGTGTTGCCTCCCGACTTCTTATGATAGATGATTGAATATTGGATGGAAAAGTGTAAAGCAAAAGCGCCCGTTTAAAATTAGCTGTGTCGGTCTGTGAAATGAAAAAAGCATACCAAGAAAAGGATATAGAAGTTGTTTTCCATAACTTCAATTCACTTAACTTTAAAAGAGCCATTTTCTCCCAGCCTTAGTTATGAATTGCGTCCTCAGAATCAGGCTGGATTAATACTATACGCAAGTGCGTTGAAGCTTAAACATTTGCGCTGACCTGGTGATGAAAGTACAGCTTTCCTGTCTGAACTCAGACTATCCTACATTTGGCAAGAAAGCACTCCCATTTTTTCAAATTTCTCTATTTTATTCTCTAACAAATGCGAAACTATGCTTTTTAAGACCTGTGTGTCCTTATCAAGGTCTTTAGAACAATCTAAGTAGAAACACAGTACGATTGGGTGAACTTTCATTTCTCTCATAGGAGAGCTTTTTTAAGTAACTCACATATACACTCAGCAATTTAAATGATGCTTCTATTATCAAATGAAGGACGATACAGCTATTTATTATATGTAGGCTAATCTAGGGTGTGAGCAAGAAAGTCGCGAAAATGGACTATATTTACTCAAAATACCTACAATTATCCTTCTATTATTTCTGAAGTAGGTAATGCAGACGACATTTGATGTAACAGAACATAATTAGAAGAAAAGAGCACACAACATGACTCGTGTGGATAGAATTTTGTGGTTGAAGTCATTAATTGCAAGGAGGGGGGCAATTTTTAACTTCAGATCAGCTAAATTAGTACTAAGATCCGGGCCCGTGTAGGATGACGATTTCCAGCACTCATCTATGTTAACTGAAGGGAATCGGTGAGCCTCTCTGCTGAGATACTCAAATTCTGTTATTCTTTCCATACTAGAGATGCACAGTTGGGCATTCGAAAATATCAGTGCAGTTTTGAAAAGTGAAGTAAAGTTTTTCCAGTAGATATCGAGTTCAGGATCTTTTGTTACCGTGGTGCCGATGACAAATTAAGGGGGTTAAATAGTTAGAAACTAGATTACTAACCATCACTATAAATATCATTTTATAACAATAGTACCTCCTTAGCAAGCCAGCTCACCTTTGTAGCTATTTGTGATTTGAGAAAGTAGCGCAAATTAATTTCAATAGACACAATGTTTTAGACTCTGAGAATGTGAAAATTTGAGAATCTCAGGTTTTATAGTGTGGTCCAAGTGAGTTAAGTTCGCGTATATAAGCTAGACGAAGTCTCTATTTTCAAACAGACGAAGAATTTTTCTCTCAAATTATATTAGGTTAAATAGTGAAAAGAGAACAGTTTCGACTAAAACATGGAGTTTTGGCCATCATGGTGAATAAAATTCGTGTGCATGCATAATTTGTACTTGGAAACTACTTCAAATTAAAATCTGAAACTAAAATGAACGCCGTAAATAATTAATAGCAGAAAGCAATGCGTACTTGAAGTAAGTTCAGCTTCTCTGTAAGACTTTCGGGAACAGCATTCGCTAATGATTCGGTACTTGATCTCTTGTCGATATCATGTCGAATACTGGCGATTGACTCGTCGATTTCAGTTATCTGAGAACAGAAATCATCGAGTTCTTTGCTTGAAGCGACTGTACCTCCAATTCGCATTTTCTCTTGAATATTCTTTGTTGTATCTCGAAGCCAGGCACTGTACCTATCCAACTGATTTTGCGTGTCTTCTGTTCGTTGTTTCAGTTTCTTCAGCTCATCCAGTCTTCGAATCAACTGCAGAAATGATATTGCACAGATTAGGCATCAAAATGTTTTCCAACTTCAGCTTATTTCAATTTTATTTAATTATGAGTCAAAATGTGATTTACATTTCAGCCATACAATTAATAATATAAGTAAATTAATATTACAGATGGAAGGTTGTGGAGCAGCAAATTATAAAATATATTATGAAAAAGAGATTTGTGCGTTTGTTATATCATTGCTGTCTCCACGCCAAAAATAATAATTGTGTCATTTCTTGCTTTGTTGACAAAAAAACTAATTTTAAACATCCACTTGATCGAATTGTCTCTTCAATAGAAATGCCAACTTTGTTATAAAACTTTGTGTACACATTAATTCTCGAAACTCCAAAAATCTGAGCCTTAATGAATTTCAGAAATATACCTGTAGATCTGTAAAGGCTTGGAAAAAAATTATGGAATTTTCAATAATTTTCTAGTCACCGATATTAAATTTAAAATGACTTTCTTGAGTTAAATAAATTTGATGACTAAAATTGGAGGGCGTGACAATCAAGTCAGATCAACTGATCGGAGTAATACGATCGAAATTACCCCACCAACTGGTGAAAATTAAAACTTGGCGTATTTGGATATTTCAAAGAGATCGACAAAATACCTTTACAACCTCACTCAATGATTTTGGCATTTCTGCCTTTTGACGAAAATTGTGAATTTGGATTTATTGTTTAATAATTAACTTACAATAACATCAATAATTGTTGGGCAATGCGTGAATTAAACTTCTTTATCTTAAATTCAACATCTAACTTAGGAATCAGGTGATGCAGTCTTATCTTGAACCAGTAGAAATGGATGCTTCAAGGGGAGTTGGCACACTAAATTTTGACTTTGAGTTTGATTGTGATATTTAAGGGTCCATTTCTTCAAAAGGTATTGCAACTTACTTGTTGCAGGGCACTGGCAATACTTGCCGCGTAGGTTTCAAATTCCGCGTTTAATTTCTGAGACATTACCTTCTCAGAGGAAAGCAGTCTAACAATTTTCTTCAATCGAGCAAAGTCGTCTTCCGAGTGTTCCGATTTCAAGTTGTCAAATGCCTAAAAAATAGACAGTATTCGCACTAATTTCAATGCAAAACTACCAGACATTCTAAGAAAATCGGGCGCGAGTACTTGGACTAAGTAGAAAGTACTATTTCAAAAAATTTAAGCATAGCATGCGAATGTAAAATTTGAGTAAACTTTAGTGTTATATATGACTATCCAATGATGTCATGCAGTCTACTTCATACATGCGGCAAGAAACCTACCTTAAATACCCTCTGTCAGTAAAAACACAGTATATAGTCAATAAAAGAATGTTTTACCGACAAGTGTACCAATTATTGCCAAGTATTGATTGGTGGGTATTCCAATAATATTTTTTCAAGCGAATATAACTTAGCAGCTTTAAGCTTTCAAAAGATTCAGTCAACAAATTGATTATATTAATTCAACCCAATAAAATGTAATAAAAACAAAATATTCATTAACTCTGAAGTAACTTGCCATTATTTCATCACAGATGTCACCGACGTCGACGTAGGTTTGATTCTTGGATTTCTTCAGCATGGAATCGACGCGTTCTAGCCAATGCTTTTCATAGGACATCAAAGCTGCAAATGTACAAATATTTTAATTCTATTCGCAAAATAATCTTAAAGAGAGTGAATTACATACGGTCTTTCGCAGCTTAAAATACCGCTAAAAGGAAGATGTGAGAATTCTCTTGAGAAACTGGGCCGTGTTCGCACGTAATTCAATCTTACAGGTCAAGAAGAAAAAAGCCCTCTGAATGGCTAATATCAGACTGCTTTCAATTTAAATATGGACCAACTTTGGATCAAAATGAAGAATTCTTTGTTCTCCTGACTTTTAAACACAGCTACTGTTGTTAATTGTGGAGGGCCAATGCCAGGAAATGAGACATGAAATTATGCGAAAGAAAGGCAATAGAGAAGGTATCCACCAATAAACAAAGTCTTTTGTAAGACAAGTAGAAGAATGGTTCGAAGTCTAATTGGTTGCTACCTACAAAATCGGTGTTTTTTAACAAAATGATAGGATGATAATTGTGTTCGTTTCAAGAAGAACCTTTTCAACATGAAATAAAGGAATAGGCGAGGATTGTGAATACAAATGTAACTGATCACAGGTTTAATTTGATATAATAAAATTATATATGGTGATAAGCTTTCAAGTCAGTGCGAAAGTAGAATAAATTTGAAGATGAATGACGAATAATGAGAATTTCCACCAATGGGAAAAAATATAACAATTGGCATGAATAGAAGTAAGAAACAAAAGGCTACTCACAATTGAAATCGTTGAAATGATACGTTGCGGATTTCAATCGCTCCTGGCTAGCAGCATATTCCGATTCCAAATCTGCAAAATGTCCTGAGAAAAGAAGCACCGTTTTGGAGGAAATGCTCTTTCCCATCGCGTCTCTAGCTTCTCCACTTCTCATTGCTTCAATCATTGGTCTTCTGACATCTATTTCACTTCGGAATTGCTATAGTAGGAATAAGTTTGTCTTATAATTACACGACTACTTACATTTAACGAGTATTCAATTTCGTCTTACCTCTAAGAACTCTTCAAATTTGTCCACTTCTTCTCTACTGTTAATGGAGGTGAATTTCGCGAAACGATGCTTGGCCTTTGAAATCCACTTCTGTAGTTCTTCCAGGTCAATCATCTTGACTACGGTATCCGGAGGATGATTTTGCGGAAGTCCACTATTTATGGTTATTGGTGCTTCCTGCATTTCAGAATGATATGCAGTCGCTGAATCACTAGGTTGTGCTTCTGATTTCTCCTCCTCAACGAAGTCCTTTGCACTACTCGAGGTTTCTAATTTCGATCGAAGGAATTCAATATTTTCATTGGTGAGTTCCTTGACTCTATTCCAAGTTTGGTTGAGCTCCTGTAAGCGTGTTTTTAATTTCTACAGAGTGGGTGAAAACGCAATGCTATATATTTACGCAAAATGTGAAACACACATATGTATTGTAGGGACAATAGTGTGCCAACCTTATCACAACGCAGCCAATCAAAACTCACCTTAAGGTACGCTTCATTAAAGAAGTATTGCAATTCCTTTACGATGCCGTCTAGGTGGCCAAGGGTTGGCTGCATCTTTTCCATGTCTCGCAGTGCTTCAACTGACTCTCCCAGTTGGGCTTCAATTGCAGATGATTGGGAATTTGCAGCTTGAGCAACCGATTCCAAATAATCGAACATATCTGACATTAGCTTTTCGAAACGTTCAATTTGGTTCTGCAATTGGAAAAAGAAAAGAAAACATAAAAATTAGCATTTGGGCATTCCATTTAATAATCAAAATATCACAATTTATTTAGTTTAACCCATAGATTCGAACAAAGGTTTTAATTACATAATATGTGGAAACTATGAGAAAATGAGATCAAACTTCCGTAGTTTCAAGATTAATTTTGTAATTATTCCCTTTGATTTAAGACCAATTGCCACGCATTTCTAATGCCGTTTCTTAGATGGCGCGACAATTTACTTTGAAATATTTCTAAGTACTAAATCAGCCAATAAATTTGAATCTCAAGCTACAGAGCAAGGAATTAATGAAATTAGTCAACTGAAGGTATGATTTCAGGCAAAGGCCAAAGCTCATATTTCACATTTTCTTTTCTTTGAGTTCGCTTCGCATTAGGTAATTTTTTTGCAACAGTGCACTTTCTTACGCACTTTAAAAGCACGAACCTAAGAGTAGATCGACCCAACTGAAATCTCAGGAAATCATCAACTGTTCTGCAAAGGATTAATATGGTGTAGAATGTAGCAATTTAGAACTCAAGATCTTTGGACATTAGGCGCCACTAATCATATCGTTGGTGGTCCCTCGGATTGACAAGCTTTCTGTATCTTGGACGACCCCCTTTTTGTTAATGAGCTCTTGGCTGTAACTGTCTAAAGCACAACCCGTACTGCATTAACAGAGTTAGCTTATCTAACCAAAATTCTGACTTATGTGTGTGCATTGGGGTTGGTAATTTAGCGACTGGAATGAGGCTTAATAAACCCGAACTTCTACGTCAGCAGCTTATTAATTGGGATATTTCAGTAAGCGGCTAACAATATTCCGGTAAACTGTGAAATGTGAAATCAAAATCTAAGGTCGGTGCTCATGCAATAAACTTCGATTTTTAAAATGACCTTTCCACAAAAGGTCCAACAATTCAAAGCGTTTTCACTCCTGTTAGTACCTGGGTTCCGAGGTTTGTTTCCTATTTACCTTACCAACTGCTATTCAATAAGAACTGATAATTAGTCAGGAAATATGATGCAGCGTTGAAATTACTATTACAATTAAGAAAGGCGGGCTAGAATTATGACGTTGTTCATTTGGCAAATTAAGAGTGACTTAAATTAAGTATGCGAATGAAAAATTGTGTGACGTTGGCACCTCAGCGGAGGAAATGAGGCAGGAGGGTTAGGAGACACCGGTTGAACAACAATGAAAATCCCACAAATCAAACAAAAAGTCAGGCTCACCTCTATTTTAAATGGCTACAATAAAACGAATGCATGTCATAGATGGTGGCACTTCAATCTTAAATCATTGCATTTTTTACCACAAACAATAAACCAGCTGTAATTTATTGCCTCAGTGAAATTATGTGATTTTGGTGACAATGGTGGGGTTAAAGACTTTGCGACTCCTAGTGCATGGTTTGAATTTTACTTTTGCTTTGTTAAAAGGTGGGATGATAAAAGAATAAGGAAGTTAAATGTTATAAATTTTTACTTTAACGTACAACAAAGAGATCATGATTCTCGCAGAGATTTTGGAGGATTGGTACCCGTTCACTAATAAGTCCCCGAACCTCCTGCCATTTATTCCACAGTTCAGTCGACTCTTCCTTCTCCAAGGGTGCAAGAAATTGTTCCACAGTGGCTGATTTTGGTTGCTTCTGAACAGTGCGCTAAAATGCCGGAAATCATTTATTGACCATTAATTCAACATAGCATATTTTTGTGTTATTAAATTGATGGTTTGAAACAATGAATCTGTCACATTCTGGTACTTGTGAGTAAAAACAACGATTTTAAATCTAAACTGTTTGTTTTTATCGATATATACGTATATCTTCCAGCCCAGATTACTCACCAACGAAAAAGATATAAGCCTTCCAACCCTTACATGTCTGCTTTAATTCTTCTCCCAAAGCATTAGAGAAGAAATCTCTAGGGGGGGGAGTAATAAAAAGAGTTGAAAGGCTGATATTTGCCATGTCTCCTACGATTCATCATCAAAATGCGACATCTATTTTTAATCTGTTTTGGCTACAGTTCATTCAGATTACTCCTTCACTAATCAAATGGTTATTTGGTTGGGTATTGTGAACCAGATTCAAAACTTAAGATATTTCTTCATCATTCCTCTGTAATTGGTTCATCTGCTAGATTTTTCTAGCATGCTTAAAGAATAAAATACTTTTATTCCGTGATTCAAAGGGTATAAAGCAGTCATCATGCTTTTTCGTTAAAAGTTAGCAGCTTTTAATTCCCATTGTAATCATTTGTTAAAATAATACTTTGATAAATAGGTATTTAAATTAGGATTAAGAAGGTGGAAGCAATATTTATGAAGAGGAGATGATCGGACGCTGTGACAGAAGAAAAGTTTGTAATCTCATACTCCCTAGCGGCTCTTCGATTACAAAGCCTAAAAAGGCCTCACCGCACTGTCATTAAAACACTGAGTCACATATAAATTTGATGAAGGAAGGACAATGTCGATTGTGCACTTGAAAATGAACTCTTTATTCAGCTTTATGTGCTTACAATAGAAGCAAATCTCTCAAGTAATGTGTAGAGGAGAATTTCTTGAACAGTTGTAACTATGTGGATATTTAGGCTTCAAGACTGAAATACTTCGATTTCCTTTTCTCCTCTCATCCAATAAGCATTATTCTGAATTCTAAGTGCACATGTCCAAATTGCTTCTTTAATGCTATCTTTTTCCATTAAATTTGCTAATTTATTCACATATAAACACCTCCCCCC